CTTCTGAAAACACTTTACAGGTTCTCCAGTAACGGATGTTAATCTTTTGCTTGTTCAGATTCTTCTCAACTTTTGAAAACAGTTCACGGACGCCTCCCAACATGGATGTTGATCTATTGCTTATTCAACTTCAACTCCTGAAAACAGTTTACGGATTCTCCAAACATGGATGTCAATCTATCGCTTGTTCAGAACCCCAATTCAGAGATGTTCCAAAACATGGATACCTTTCTGATACTCGTCCACTCACCAATGACATACAGTTCAACATTTCCAGATGGCATCTTTAAGCCCATCCCCCGACAAGATTCTGTCACATTCCAGATGGCATCTTTAAGCCCATCACCAAATGGCATCTTTAAGCCCATTCCCTCTACCATCACATCACCGAGTGCAAATTTTTTGGGCACTCTAGTGTCCAATCTCCTTTTACCCTCGAGTCGCGAAAGGCAAACTTGCCAATCTAACTCTTCAGGTTCAAGAAGATTGAACAGGGGCAACTGTTGTACCCCAAAATTTGCCCTCTTATTTTTCCACAAGAAATCACAGCTTCGGGCTTTTCTTGATTTTTCAGAAGGGCTCAAGAATCAGTCAAACAGACTTTTCTTGTCATTCAGACAAAATTTAGGGTTGTCATTGATTTTAAAACAGTTCAAGCAGATTGCTTAGGGTTTGGTTGAGTTGGCTCAAGTTTTGATCAGGCGGACGCTTCTCTAACATTAAGTCAAGAATTAGGGTTTTTGCGCGCGCAGAAAGAATTAAGTCTACAGTGCTTTTCAATTTACTCTGGAATATGAACTGAGGTTTATGATTGAGAATTTACAGTGTTTGATTGAATCATTAAAAGAAAAGGCATGTGGACGTTTTGTTTGATTAACTGTGTATTGCTTTGAATAATTGAAGCGCCGGATTTATTATTGATTGATGTTAAGACCACAGTGTTTATCAATTGTTTATTTATTTCAAGTTAGAATAATTGGAATTTATTTCCATTTTATTATAATTTAAGAATTATAAACAATTAGACAAACATTTGAAGAAGAATTAAAAATGAATGTCAATAAAAAGACTTTTTTATTTATCTTTAATTATTTGTACAATTGTTATTTAAATACAGTAATTGTTTACAAAGTATTTACAATAATAATGTTACAATGATTAAAGGAAAATAAAACTATGTCCTAAAATTCCTAAGTCTTCATCTTCTATCCAATGCTCCCTTGTTGCTCAATTATTTTTCATCTGCAAAACAAAGAAAAAGAAAAAGTCAAAAGCAGATGAAATGAAATTAAAAGCAGATAAAAATTGGATTCATCATTAAAAGCAACTGGCCGGAATCAGTTTGCCCTCTCTGCAAATCACGAGATTGCTCTCGGTTCACAAAGAGGGATATAATGTCTTGCAAAAATGTGAAATGCACAAATTCAAATTTTCAAATATACTGCATAAATCAAAAAATTGTCAACCAAGTTTCCAAACAACATGTGCAAGTATAAAGGCAAACTGAATCACAATTTCAAACTAAGCCAAAAAGCTGTCAAAATTGTCCAAGGATGCCAAAAGATATCAAACTCCAAAAGTTGTCAATAAAGTACACACAATATGCAAGAAATATGGAAAATATGCAGAGGAAAGGGATAAGTGCAAACAATGTTCAAATCATCATTTTCCAAAGGCCAGTTTACTTTTTCAGAAAGAAGACAAATTTAAGCAATAAAAATGCTTTTCTTTAATCTGGAGAGAGAAAGAGAGAGGAAAGCAGCTTACAGTACAGCAGGCTAGAGGCTAAGCAAAAGATATAAACAGGATGTATCAGAATACATAGAGGAAAGAGGCAGAACATATACAGCAAGATATCATAAAGCGTGAAAACCTCAAGCCTTGCAAAACCTGTCCAAGCATTGACCAAATCCAAAGAAAACAAATATACATAAAAAATAATAACACATCCTGCCTTTCAAAAAGATACAAGGCCAAGACCCTGGAAGATATAAAACAAAAGCCATCAACCTGCATAACAGATATATCTCACAAGTCACACAAAGCCTAATAGCCCCCAAGTTCATCAAAACCTGCCTGAACTGTCAAGCTGCCTCAAAACCTCACAACAAGCCTTAACCATCAACAAACATTCAAAACATCAAAGCCTGCAGAAGCCAAGCTTAACCTGTCCAAGCCTTACCTGCACTAACCTTAAACCAGAAGAAGCACATAAATTTGTGCAAGCCAAAAGGCCATAAACCTGTATCAAGCCTAAGACCTGTTTTGAACTCAGTAAGCACAAACCTAAAGCCACAAACTGTGTCAAGCCATTATCCTGCCTATGACCAATTTCAGAACACAAACTAAAGCTCAAATCTGCAGCAAGCCTTGAAACATTCAAACACATACAGAATCCCCCAAGGGCCCTCAGAACCTAGGGTTCATCACTGAGCAAATCAACCACAAAAATTCGTCCAAAGCCAAAATCATCAAAGCAATACTCAGCATACCAGGCATCTCAGATAAGCAAGCATATCAGAAAGGCAAACGTATCAAATATTCAGAGGCAACAGGAGCAAGTAAAAGAGAAGAAGATAAAGAAGGTTCTCAGACATCATTATCATAAAACCTAAAAAGACAAAAGCAAGATACTAAACAAACCAGAGCAAGCCACAACATCGCGCCTCTCCGCCCTGTCCATCCTAGGCGCCTCCAGCTCTCTCCTCCATTTTCCAAAGACAACGCAGGTATAACTTTTCCACCTTTTCCCTTCACACCTCACATAACAGTAATAATGTTCAGAGATTAGAAATTTATCAAAGAGTAAAAAATGCACGAATTGGAAACCCTAAAACATAAACTATAAGTTCATTACCTTTGCGAACATCGCCCAGATATGACCATGGGGAAAGGAGAGAGGATGGCGCCTGGCACAGGGACAAAGGACGTTATTCAGGCGCTTGGCATGAGAACGAACGAAGAGGAGAAGACAGCGAAGTGAACGGCGCCGTTGTTATGTCACAAACCCTAATTCCTCTTTCTGAAACACAATAACTCAAACCCTTACAATTGTTTTGTGAAGCATTGGGCCTTGCCCCTTTCAAATGCTAAGGCCCATACAAAAGCCAGCGCGCATACCCCCCTCCTGGCGCCTCACCTCCCTTTTACTTGTTCTATTTGCTTTGCTTGGGCCTTAAACCCCCTTCAAGCCCATTCTTTTTTTTATATACATAAAACTAACTCTTTTCTTTTTACTTGTCATTTTTATTTTCCTTTTTTATACAATTTAAACTTTATTTGTTTATAAATAAAAGGGTACATTAAAACTCATTCTTTTTAAAAAATGTCCATTAATACTTCCTTTTTATAATCAAGAATATATAAAAATAAATTTTTAACTTAAATAATCTACCTTTCTTAGAATTTGTATTTAATAAACATTTGTGCATCAACTAAATTACATAGATAATAATTTTCTTAAGTTCAAAACATTTCATTTTTCTTTTCTTTTTTAATTAAACATTTTTTTTGTACATACTTAACAAAAATACAAATGATAACAATACATAAATAAAATACTTGATAATACATTAAGTTCACATACCACACTTGTAAATAACCATACACTTACACAAATACGTTGATACATTTACATTGCTTTATTCTCATACATTGCTATTACTTTACATTTGAGATTGCGGTTGATTCGATTTGGTTGTAAATATTTGGATACTACTCTCTTAATAAGTCTCATCCCCCATTTACAAATAATTATACCCCCACTCCCGGATACTCATTTGTAATAGTTTAGGACTTTAAATTCCCGCAATTTATCGCTTTCGAATTATGCCATGATAGATCTAGGTTTGTATGTACATAAAACCAAACGCTAGATAACCTAATACAAAGATAAATGCATGACAATCAATACACAATTCACACTTGCACCCCTAAGGTAATCCCGCTTGTTGCCTTCCAAAATGGGTCATGCTTGCACGTCGAGTTTCTTTGGCAAAACAATTCAAATGATCATAAGTCCCTCGATGACGCTTTCGAAAGTTGCCTAAACGAAATGATCATAGTCCCTTCAAGCAAATTGTCAAAGACACTTGGCACCATTGCATTCATGGTTCATACGATGACTCGCGTCTGTCCCGTTAAACATCCTAACGCAAGATTGTCCACCAAATACAATGGTGGAACAAAATTTTTAAAAGAGTTAAAACATGAGAAAAACCTTTGAGTACAATAGGGTAGACAAACTCTTAGTTACTTGATCAACTTGCAAATTTCAAAACCCACTCCGCAAACACTTTCAAAACAAACTTTGAAAAACATTTGAAACATCTTTTCGAAAAGATACACACCTTTGTAAAATACTCAAACACGAATCATTACAACGGTTGCCTAGACAAGGCGTCTTCTTCAAAAACATTTTCAAAACACACACACACGCCATTTGCCATTTCAAGCAATTGAAAATCAATGCAAGTGATCTAAAACAAGTAACTAAGAGCCCATGGATAACCATGGATGAAAAGGGTGCTAATACCTTCTCTTTTCATAATCTACCCCCGAACCCACGAAACATCTCAAAAGGTTTTTCCTATGCTTTTTAACCTTTCCTTAGGATAAAATAAAAAATCGGTGGCGACTCTTGCTAAACCGAACAAGTGCGAATACAAAACGCAAAACCTCAAGTCAGTTCTCCCACCGTATCACACACATATTATTCAAAATGAACAATTGATTTACAAAAGTACTAATCTAGGATCCACACAAGTGTACAAAATTATAAGTATGTTTACACAGTAGACTACTACAACAACAAAACCAGTGAAAACATACAAAAATATCCCCAACCATTTATAAGACCTTTCCCATACTTAAATTACCAACATGCAATCCACAAGATGAGTTATAGCTTTAGTAGACCACACCAAAATCACATTTGTTGACAATAGATAATAACACCAATTAACATCAACAGAGTCGTAAATCATACGACTCATCTTGTGTTAATTTTGTTGGATCATCAAATACCTATAGAATTCCATCTGACCACGACCACTATCCGAGTTCTTTATAATACATACAACATCATTGCCTTTGACTTCAGATACCTGCACAAGCACAACATCACGTAGAACTCATCAGTCACCAAGCACGTAAAAACCGCAATTCATATTGGACTAAACTTTGCATTCTGGCTTCTACTTATTTTACCTCTAGCCATATAGAAGTAGTTTCACTTCCCATGAACAAGTATTGACCAATAAAAATAGTGTCTCCCGTCTTCACTGTCTGTAAACAATTAAGAATTTGAAAAATATGCAAGCAACAAATTACAATGCAGAGTAGAAAGAATCCAAACATATATCTCAAAGTCATGAAAAACAACATCACGTGGGATTCAAGATTCAACCTAACATTCACATTAACTGCTTCTAACATCGTAAGCAATAATTAAGTTCCAGAAATAGATTTAATTTATGCTACTTTGAGCCACACAGCCCTGAGAGGCAAGAGTAATGAATCGAACAAAGCATGCTCTCTATATACAACAATGTAAAGTACTAATACTAATCAAACAAGATCAACCACAGTAACATTCAGTGGAAGCAATGTAAATGCAAGAAAGTCACATCATATAATAAAAAGGTGGAAAATATCAACGAACCTGAACCAGTCCATCAAAGTTGATAGGAAAAATCTCTGAAGAAGCTTCTTGTCCCTGGTTAGGAGTCAAAACAACCTGACCATCTATCTCCTATGTGATAGTTGTCTCACTTTTTTTAACAACCTGCATCTCTGCACCTACCGTGTCTAGCATAACCTGTCAAAGGCAATTCGAGTCACAAACTTTCAATTTCTCCAAAGTTTCCTGGTGATACTCAGGATGACACCGTGAAAAATCAAAACGAGCCACTGTACACAACAACAACAACAAATAAACCACATGAAATCTATAACACTTCTCAAATATTCACGTAAGAATCCATATCACAACTTAAGAAAGGGTAAAATTAAAGACAAGACATACAAGACATGCCAGCTTTAAGACCCAATGTACCAACAATCTTTGTCCTAGAAGAAAAATAACTCTGCAATAATCATAAACAATAACAAAAACAATAATCACAAAATTATAATCAGAAAAACAAGATCTATAGATTGGAAACGAAAACAATAAGAGCAAAACAAGAGTAATAGAAACTAACCACTTTCGATGGCTCTAAAGTTCCTCTAAAGCCATCCTAATATGTTCCTCGAGAAGCAAGTGACTGGAAGACATGTTTGGTTTGGTTTGTTAATCAACGAAAATGGCTTCTACAGAATCGATTAACAAGAGATCGATGATTGAACTCTCCGCCTGATGAACCAGCATCTCTCCGACAGCTATAACCATCTCATCACGACCATTCTCCGCCACAGTGATTAACTTAAGCGTAAAACTTGGAGGCAGTGCAATATCACGCGCTTTAAGCGCGTGCGGGAGATTCACGAACTGTTTCCCCTGTCCAATTTCGAAATCCACCAAACAGAAGCCTCTTCCGTTTTCCTCAAATGCAGATTCCAAAATCGTGAGATTCGCGGCCATGTAACTCACCTTGAAACAAACCGAGTTTTCCAGAAACAGCTGAGTCGACTCTGTATGTTCTCTCCCGAAGAGCTCCGCAACATGGAAATGATTTTCAAACAGATTCATCCTTGATTTCAGAGAAGAGACCGTGCAATTGGTTAACCGTTGATCCTAATTTCCATTGGGATTCGAATTAAAACCTAAGCGTTGTGTTAAGATCTCCAAAGCGACGTTGTTTTTACCTATTGATGTGGTTAAGGGCGAAGCTGGTGAAGTAACGGAACACCTAAACACGGCGTTTGGTAGTTGTTATTGAAAGATGAGGGGTCCTCGAGAGGCAAGTGACTGGAAGCCGTGTTTGGTTTGTTTTCTTTGTGTTTCTAAGGGAAACTAGGGTTTTAGTGAAAATTATTGAAGGCAGGAATTCACATCGGGTTCAAATCTAGGAATGATGTGAAATCCGTTATAACAAAATTTCATATTATTTATGAAATTGACATCTTGTTATTTTTTCTATCACATGATTTTTCACATCGGTGTAAAGTTAGGTCTGGTGTAAAATTTATTATAATAAAGTTTTATTTTATTTACGAAGCTGTCACACTGCATTATTTTTCACATCAGTGAAATTAAATGTTTGATGTAAAATTTCTAAATCAAATATTTTTCACTTTAAATTGTTATGAAATCTAATGTAAAATCCTTTAACAAATATTTTTCACATCATATATCTTGAAATCTGATGTAAAATCATTTAACCAAATGTCTTTTCTTTAGTAGTGTATCCAATTTCTCCTCGGAAGACCTTGTTCATCATTCGTTGGTATGCAGCGTCAACATTTTTCAAACCGAATGACATTACGTTGTAGTAATAGTTGCTCGACTCGGTCATGAAGGTTGTGTACTTCTTGCCCGTCTTTGCCATGTGGATCTGGTTGTATCCCGAATACACATCCATGAACGACAATAATTTAAAACCTGCAGAATTATCAACTAATTTATCTATTTGGGCAGGAATAAGCATCTTTGAGACAAGCCCTATTGAGATCGATATAGTCAAGCACATGCACCATTTTCCATTATTCTTTTTAACAATCACTACATTAGAAAGCCAGGTTGTATAGCGAGCTTCAGAAATAAAATTTGTCTCTAGGAGGTCTTTAACAGCTTGCTCGACAGCCTCAGTTTTTTTCGGAGACTGCTGGCGCCTACACTGAGCTACTGCCTTAATAGTAGGATCTATCGCCAGATGATGGCAAGCTATCTCTGGATCCAAGTCGGACACTTCTGTTGCACTCTGAGGCATGCCTTTAGCTGTCTTTTTGCCAAGTTGGGGAGGTCAGCGCTGATTTTTCCTCCTCTGGATGGATCTTCACCTAGGGGAACGATCTCGAAGTACCCGTCCGGGATTGGGTGCACGGGCTCTCTACTTCTCGTTTACAAGGAAGAGCTTTTTGCGTCAAGTAGGGGCTCTTTCCCTTTCCTCTTCTGTTCTCAGAGGTCCCCCTTTATGAACCGGCTGTCGAGGTCAATCATGTCGATGTGCGGCTGTGATTTTGGTTCTTCGGAACTTTTGGGAAGGAAAGGTCTGTTGGCTGTTCTAGGTTATGTGCTGATGGAGCTCAGTTCTTTGGTTGCTGCTGTAAAGCATCTTCTTGCAGCTTGTATGTCCCCGTGAAGGGTGGTGACGAGATCCTTCTCGGTGTAGTATTTCATTTTCAGATGCACAGTGGAGAGCATCACTATTAATTTGGCCAGGGTAGGCCACCCAAAAATGCACTAATACAATGAAGGGCAGTCCACCACGAGGAACAGTATTTTAATCGACCTAGATGTTTCTGTCGCCCCAAATGTGACAATCAGCTCGACATATTCCCAAAGCCTGGTGATAGATCCGTTGAACCCCTAGAGATCAGAGCCAACATAAGGGGTCACGTGAGTCTCATTTAGCTGCAGGGTGATGAACAATTGGGAGTATATTATATTAATCGAGCTGCCTTGATCGACCAAAATTTTCCTGACGTCGAAATTAGCCATTTGTGCCCTTACCAGCAGAGGAATACTGGAGTTAAGAGCCCTACCGAGCAGCTCCTCTCTGTAAAATGCAATGGGGATGAAGTTTCTCATGATCTTATCAAGGGTGGCATTCTGGTCAGAGCTGGCGTCTATAAGTTGCTCGAGTTTTCTTTTAACTGAGCCCACCGTACACTTGTTAAAGCCCCGGCCAGATATAACCATTGCTACTGGAAAATTTTCCCAAGGGATATGGGTTGCGAAGTACAGAGGGACTTCTTCCATGTCAGGGAAATAGAAGTCTTTTAGTTGGGTGACGCTTAAGGCAACGGGCATGAGACTCTCTTCGGGGGAAGGCTTCTCCTCCTTCACTTTCTTTGATTCTTGGGCGTCTTCGCGGGCACCTTCCTTCTTTTTATATTGTTTAAGATGTCCATCTCGGATGAGTATCTCAATGGTATCCTTCAGGTGGATGCAGTCGTTTGTATTGTACCTGTGACTTTTATGAAACTGGCAATACTTGCTTTTGTCCGTCTCTAGCTTGAACGGTGTTTGACACGGAAAGTGTACCCAGCTTGTCAGAACTCCAAGTTAGTGCATTTTGTTAGAATACGCTCGCGTGAAGTGTTAAGGGGGGTGCAGTTGTGGAAATGACCAGCGGTCCCCTTGTAGTCTCTTGAATCAAGGAATTTGTCCTCCCTTTTCTTTTCTCCTCCCCGACGGGATGTCGAGGGCTCGTTATTCGTTAAGACTTTTGCATTCTCACGATGTCGCGAGTCTCGTGCGTTGCTTGCTTCCTCCTTCTCCTCGTACTGGATGTAAGCATGTGCTTTGAGCAGGAGGGAATCCAGCGTTGCATGAGTCTCACTGTCAACTGCTTTGGCGAAGTCATTGCAAGGGTGCAAGCCTCGCTCGAGGAGATATTTCTTCATCCTTCCCCTGGATAATGGCCTCTAGTGCAGCCTCTGACTTAGGGTGTCAGTGAGATGTCGTGAAATTCCTGGAGAATTGTATCCCCAAGCCCTTCCAAGAAGTAATGGACTCGTCAGGGAGGCTCTTGTACCAAGCCATGGCTCCCTTTTTTAGCGTCAGGAAGAGTCTACATTTGATTGCTCCTCGACATCCTCTGTAGTCGAGCAAGGCATCGATGTTCTCGATGTGCTCGTCTGAATATGTTATCCCATCGTATGTCCCCAGGTGTTAGGGTTTCTCTAGACCGACAAGTAGTGGGGTCTCCATGATTTCTCTGGATAACAGGCTGTTGGGCTCGTCGTCATCGATGTGATTAGGAGATGCTGGTGGAGAGTAGTTGTTTCTTCCTTGTTGGGGGTTGTCGTCTTGATAGAGAGAGGCGCTCCTTTGGTGGCGCTTCATCTTGGGGGATGGCGAATGATCGTTATCCGGTCGTTGAGTACTCCTTATTTTTCTTGGTGATCGGAGAACGTCGGTCTTTTCAAGGAGGGGTGCGACCTCGTTTCTTGAGAAACGAGACTTCTTGCTTTTCTTACGTGGGACAGCAACCACGCCTTGATGGTGATGGACTGCGGGAGCCCTGTCTTTGGTATCTCCGAGGAGGAGATCTTGAAAGGCGCTCCTTCTCCCAAGCTCCAATCTTGTTGCTATGTTGCAGGATTAGGGTATTCGTTTGGTTAAGAGCGGCAAGCAGAGCCGTTATGGCCGGATCGGTATTGGGTGGGATTTGAACTGGCCAGGGAACCGCTGGTGGGTCCTCGGTGGATTTCTTGGACTTCTGATTTTTCAAGAATTTAATGTCGTTGTGATCTGCATCGACCGAGTCGGGGAACGCGGTTCGACCATCTCTAGTGTCAGGAATATCCTCGAGGTGAGGAGGCTCTTTGTTCCCGCTTGTCTTGTGGACAGGGGAAAAGATGATTTTTCTAGAAATATGGCATCCATCATGATCGGCCATGATCAGAGTGTTTGAATGTCGCTTTGATCTTCAGTTTTAAGGAAAAGAAGATGGGGAAGACAAAATTCCCATAGATGGCGCCACTGATCTTACTGGTTGATCAGAACCTGAAAGTGAACTGAAGGATAATGTCTGCTAGGATGGAAAACTAAGAAGAGAATGAGGGTGTACCTGCAAGACACTCCGACGATCAAGCAAGTTTGAGCGCAAAGAGATACAAGAAAGAAATTAGAGTTTTTTAGAGTGAATATTGGATACCTGGCCCTCACAAATATGATAGTTTATATAATGCCCCCGACGCTTGGTCATTGATTCCTATTTTTGGGCCTAGATATTAGGTTCCTCAAAAATAGACGATCAGGACTTAGTCAAAACGAGAAGTCATGTCTGTAACTAGTCGTTGCTCCGAGCAAAGCAGGGGTTACAGACAGATGCATTATGGACGTTTCTCGATTGTCTGCTCCACACGCGTCGAGCACACCTGGAGGTAGTTGCCGGTGCGAACATGCGCATGGCTCAGGGCGTCGTTGGTCTCTCCACTCATGGGGCGCAGTCGATCAAGTGTGCCCGAGTGAAGGGCTAAAGCTAGTGAGCCAAAGTCTTTGGACCAAGTGGAAGGTAGAAGCGGACTGGGCCATGCCTAGCCATTGGACCAGTCCAGAACAATATTTGTACCCGCGCATATCTACGGATAAAATCCGTCACGAATATAGGACGGGTAATTTAATAGATATTTGCGTATAAAATAAATCAATATTTAAATATCTGTTTATTAATAGATATAGATACATATTTAATATTACCTGTGTCCGCAGATATCTGTATCCTTAATAAATTAAAAAATTATTTAAATATTATTAGTTTATTATTCTCTATCTTTTCATCTTCTAAAAAATTAAAAAACATTCTCCTCGTATATTTCTTTTGAAAATTTTCTTTGAAGAAAACATTTATTTTCCATACAAATCTTAATGTTATGTGATAATAATTTCTGGTGTCTTTAAAAGAAAATGAAAATATTTATTTAAAAATATAATTTTAGAAAAATAGTGTTATTTATAGATATCTATAAATATCCGTAGATATCTGTAGGGATATAAGGCGGATATGTATATCATATTTATCTAATGGGACAAACACAAATATCATAATATAGTTTCTATAAATATCCATTTACATCTCT